ACCACATAGCAAAGTTCAAAATAAGACATATATAGGCATTCAAGTACTTGCAGGCTTATAAAATGCCTGGTATGCCTGTAACTACTTTGCTATTATGTGGCCAGAACACAGGGGACTTCAGGATGTGTATTTACAAACTGATTCCCCAACAGATAACTGCACTATGCCGAAATGCTATTGCTATGTCAATGATTGTACTTCTTGTTTCAAAGTTTTCCATTTTTCAATCTAATTAACTTAGAATGTCTCTAACGTGATTTACAAAGAATTTTTTATTTATATTTTGCAATCAGCATTTAACTGGTGCTCAGGTTTGAGACATGCACTACAATGTGTAAACATTTTATAAGATAATAAATAGCTTCTAAATGTTTTATGATTGCCTGTTCCCTGCTAATTGGTCGTGGATTGAAATTCCCCATTGTTTAATTTTTTTTAATTTGTGGGAAATTTATATAAATGAGTGTGTGGGACTTCATATCACAGCTGTTGTCATTTAAAGTTTGGACAGCATCATTACAAATGAAGCCCTGCTGTGAAATCAAAGTCAAAAGGCATCTTGGCATCCCAATCATTTCCTTAGGAGAAGATTACAGCTCAAGTCTGTTGAACTTTATTGCCTTGGGCCTCATGACAGTCTTCAGAAACATGCAAAGCATTTCTGTTAAAGAAACTCAGATGTGCTAGGACACAGGGGATGACATTCTTGCACATAACAGTGTCCTAAGCAAGAGAATGAGGAGTAAGTTAGGAAGAAAAAAGATGAGTCACACTTTTTGCCGTATTCTGGGATTATTTTATAAAATCCATGGAGATGACAGAACAGGAAAAGGATGTGGTGTTTTCCTACATGGCCTCTGTATTTTTTTCCAGTTGTACTGAAGTATAATCAGCAAATAAATTTGCAATGTATTTTAAGTGTACACCATGATGATGATTTAAAATACCATACATTGTAAAAGGATTCCCATAATCGAATTAATTAACACATCCGTCACCTTGCCTATTTACCTTTTTGGGGAGGATAAGAATACTTAAATTCTATTTTCTTAGCAAATTTTCATTATATAATAACAGTATTATCAACTATAATCACTATGTTACACATTAGATTCTCAAGCCTTATTCATCTTATATGTACTCTTTTACCAGCATCTTCCCATTTCTCCCATACCCCAGCCCCTGGCAACCACCATTCTACTCTGTGTTTCTTAGTTCAACTTTTTTTTTTTAAGACTCCACCTATAAGTGATACCATGCAGTATTTGTCTTTCTTTGCCTCGTTTATTTCACTTAACCATAATACCCTCTAAGTTCATCCATGTTTTTACAAGTGGCAGGATTTTTTTCCTTTATAAGGCTGAATAATATTGCACATATAAACTACATTTTCTTTATCCATTCATTCTTTGATGGATACTTAGGTCGCTTCCACACCTTGGGCGGAATAATTGTTGTGAATAATTGTTGTGAATAATTGTTGTGAATAATTCTGCAATGAACATGGGAGTACAGATTTCTCTCTAAGATAAATTATTTTCTTTGCACTGTATATATACCCAGAAGTGGGATTCTTGGATCATATGATAGTTCTATTTTTAGTTACTTAAGGAACCTCCAGTTGTTTTCCATAGCGACTGTACTAGTTTACTTTCCTGCCAACAGTGTGCAAGGATTCCCTTTTATCTACATCCTCCTCAGCAATTTTTTCTTGTCTTTTTGGTAATTCAGCTCAGTCGCTCTGTCGTGTCCGACTCTTTGCGACCCCATGAACTACAATACACCAGGCCTCCCTGTCCGTCACCAACTCCCGAAGTCCACCCAAACCCATGTCCACTGAGTCGGTGATGCCATCCAACCATCTCATCCTCTGTCGTCCCTTTCTCCTCCTGCCCTCAATCTTTCCCAGCATCAGGGTCTTTTCAAATGAGTCAGCTCTTCACTTCAGGTGGCCAAAGTATTGGAGTTGCAGCTGCAACATCAGTCCTACCAATGAACATCCAGGACTGATCTCCTTTAGGATGGACTGGTTGGATCTCCTTGCAGTCCAAGGGACTGTCAAGAGTCTTCTCCAACACCACAGTTCAAAAGCATCAATTCTTCGGCACTCAGCTTTCTTTATAGTCCAACTCTCACATCCATACATAACTGCTGGAAAAACCATAGCCTTAACTAGATGGACCTTTGTTGACAAAGTAATGTCTCTGCTTTTTAATATGATGTCTAGGTTGGTCATAACTTTCCTTCCAAGGAGTAAACGTCTTTTAATTTAATGGCTGCAATCACCATCTGCAGTGATTTTGGAGCCCAGAAAAATAAAGTCAGCTGCTGTTTCCACTGTTTCCCCATCTATTTCCCATGAAGTGATGGGACCGGATGCCATGATCTTAGTTTTCTGAATGTTGAGCTGTAAGCCAGCTTTTTCACTCTCCTCTTTCACTTTCATCACGAGGCTGTTTAGTTCTTCACTTTCTGCCACAAGGGTGATGTCATCTGCACATCTGAGGTTATTGATATTTCTCCCAGCAATCTTGATTCCAGCTTGTGCTTCCTCCAGCCCAGCGTTTCTCATGATGTACTCTGCATAATAGCCATTCTAATAGTGAGGTTACAGCTTACTTTGGTTCTGATTTGCATTTCTCTGATTATTAACAATATGGAGTACCTTTTCATGTACCTGTTGGCCATTTGTATGTCTTTGAAAAAATGTTCAGTTCTTTTGCCCATTTTTTAATTGAGTTATTTGGTCTTTTTTACTCTTGAGTTGTATGAGGTCCTTGAATATTTTGGCTATGTACCCTTTATTGGATATATGATTTGCAAATATTTTCTCCTGTTGCATAGATTGCCTTTTCATTTTGTTGATGGTTTTCTCTGATGTACAGAAACTTTTTAGTTTGATGTAGTCCCATTTGTTTATATTTGCTTTTGTTGCCTTTAAGTGTCAGATCTAAAACATGATTGCCAAGAATAATGTCCAGGAACTTATCACCTGTGTTTTCTCCTAGGAGTTTTATTGCTTCAGGTCTTGTATTCAAGTCTTTAATCCAGTTTGAGTTGATATTTGTTTATGGTATAAGATAGAAGTCTAGTTTCATTTTTCATGTGAATATCCAGTTTTCCCAGCCTGCCTTGATTTTAAAATAAAAACATAAATGTGATTTCAAAGTAATGACTGCCTTCCTATTTGCAGGGCAGCAAAGGAGACATAGACATGAAGAATAGACTTTCAGTCACTGTGGGTGAGGGAGATAGTGGGATGACCTGAGAGAGTAGTACTGAAACATATACATTACCATATGTAAAACAGATTGCCAGTGGGAATTTGCTGTATGATGCAGGAAGCCCAAAGCTGTGACAACCTAGAGGGGTGGGCTAGGGAGGGAGCTGGGAGGGAGGTTTAAGAGGAAGGGAACATGTGCATGCCTGTGGCTCATATTGATGCGAGGCAGAAACCATCACCATATTGTAAAGTAATTATCCTCCAGTTTAAAAAAAAAAAAACAACTAGGATTTGCCCAACAGTAAGGACACTGCCCGCTGCCCTCATAGAAACTTCTTAGATAAGCCTGAGTCTTCCTTGTAAAACCAAGCTTCTCTTTCCTAATATATTTGCTGATGTATTCATGGATCCTGATGGTTAACATAAATTCTGTCAGTTTGCTTTTTATGGAAATGAGATGTTCCCCCCTTAGAAATGGAAACCACATTGATTAGCAGCCATATCTCAGAGACCTTGTTCTACCAGTGACCTTTCTTTTTCAACTCTCTCCCCCTTGGATTTTCCTCCTTGGTGTGTGTGGGTCCCTTCTAATTTTTACAGAATCAAAGGATTACATAGAATGTTAGTATTCATCTGGCTCAGTACTACCAAGATTCATTCAGCCACCCATTTGGATGTCATAGCTTCCTTCCCATTATAGCTATGTGCATTTTCATTCGGGGCCTTTGTTTTACTCTACTCACTTATACCCCCATCATGTCACCAGTAACCTCTTTGATTCACAAGTTTCTTGGCTTTTTTTCAATCTTCATTTTACTGAATTTCATGAAGCTTTCAACACCATTGGTCATTTCTTCTCCTGACATCTATAGTATTGTGCTCAGTCACGTCTGACCCTTTGTGGCCTCGTGGACTGTAGCCTGCCTGATTCCTTTGCCCATGGAATTTTCCAGGCAAGAATACTGGAGTGGGGTGCCATTTCCTACTCCAGGGGATCTTCCTGACCCAGGGATCGAACTAGTGTCTCTTGCGTCTCCTGCATTGGCAGGTAGATTCTTTACCACTAGGGAAGCCTGACATCTATAGTATTGCTTTCTTCTAATTTCTTTCCCATCTTTATTTTCCTTTATTCCTTCTATATAAGCGTATATCTTCCCCAGGTTTCTGTCCTTAGCTGCTTTTCCTCATTCCTCTCTCCATTTTCCTAGCAGCTGCACCATTTTACATTCCCACTGAGATTTCCTGACTTTTTCCCATTCCCCAACATTTCACCCAGAGGGTTTTGGCATCATTGATATTTCTTGCCTGATCCATAACAAAATTTTACATGCAAACTCTTCATAGGTAACACTAAGAAAAAATACACTATTTCAATTATAACATACATCCCAGTCTTAGAGAAGTTAAAATGTGGAGGGAAAAGGTGTATCTTAGGCTCAGTCAAATGCAGTAATTAAATATATTTAAACCCCCTCCAAAATTTTTTGGACAAATTGCACAGCTGTGAATATAAATGGGAAAGTAAAAGTAGCTACTCACCAATAGTATATGAAAATATCTTTCTCAAATGTATTTTTACATCAAAAGAATGTGCTTCAGGACAGTATTTTTTTTTCCAGCTCTTTTTTCACAATTATCTAGGTAAGTCTTAATGACAATTTAGAATAAAAGTAAAACCCCTTAGTACAGTAAATAATGTATCATAGATTTTTGTTTCCATATGTTTGTGATTTCTGATAAATGTCCTAATAATGCTCATTTATCTTTTTTCTTTAAGGATTGTTCCAGTTTAGAAGAATATAACATTGCTGCAGCATTACTCCCTCTGACTAGTGCTTTCTATAGGGTAAGTTTTAGTGGTCTATGTGTAAGTCATTTTGATTTATATAAATGTATTCAGCTTGATTTATCGTGAAACTACATCAGTCCCATCTCCTGACTATATCTAAGACACATCTGTGGTTATATTTATTATAACATTTGTTGCATACTATGTGTAAAAAATGAAATACATGTTAAATTATCTGCTAAGATATAACCCCACCACTCTATCCCTACTTCATTGTTCTTTAGAGCAACTTAATAACCTGAAATTAAGTATTGTTTAGTTTATATTTGACTGCTTTCCACCTCCAAAGAAAACAAATTTGGTGGGATATTATCTATCTTATTCATTATATCCCAATGTTAATCAATAAGTTTCTACTGAATGAGTGAGTGAATGAATGAATGAACACACTAGATAAATAAATGTAAGGCAGAAATTAGAGATTAACTTCATTGGCAACTTTTGTGAACCTTCTTAAAATTTTCTGGAGTGTTCAGTGCTTTTCTTAATTCTATCACATATTGTAGTTCTCCTGTCCATGCCTTTCAAAGAGATTGATTCTTACGGCAAACAAGCAAATTCTTGTTCTCTCTTTTCCTGTGAAGACTTGAAAGGAGTTAAATAGCCACACTCTGAAGAGCACATTGATTACGTCCTTCTGAAATATACAATAAGAAACAATAAACCTGTGGCAGCCAGGCTGCCTCATGGTCCTGCTATGTGCCATTAGCCTCAGGAAGCCCAGGACTTCAGACAGGTGTTATGGAAGGACTTCTAGTTTAAGCTACTCCCTGTTTCATGGACTCTAAGTCAAGAGAGAGTATCAGATATTCCCAGATCTGTTTTAGTGGAGAACTAACTTGGCATTAGATAAAGTGCTTTAGCTGATTCATAAAAATGATCCATGCCCTTAGATGCTGGCAGATTCTCTTGTTCTTTTTGTTCTGCCCATCCTTTTTGTTTCATCCACCATTTCTGACTAATGAGGTCTAGTCCTCTTCCTGCACTTAGTATGTGCTCAATAAATATTTCTTGATAAGACCAATTTTTTAAAAACTTTACTTCAAATGGTTTGTCCACAGTTTCTGAGTTAAAAGTCTTAACCCAAACATTCTCCATAATCAGGAGCCCTTTCTCTGCTGCCAAGTCCCTGCATATTCCTCTTTCTTCCTCCTTATTTTCCCATCCTCTCCAAAAGCAGAAAATGAAATTTATGAGACTCACACTTCTGAGATCCGGCAGGTCATACTGAGCATCCTCAGGAAACAAGGACAACTCTCAAAAATTTTAATCAAATGAATTTGGCTTTAGAGACTAATGGCAACCAGCTGGAGCTTGGGCATTATCTTTTGGTTTTCCCTTAACCGGTCTCCAGGCCCACTCTAGTTTTTCTTAAATGCATATATACCATTCTCATCTGAACTCTCCTTAGTGGTTCTTCATCTTATTCCTCTCCTAACATGAAGAACAATGTTAAAAAAAATAGGTCAGGCTTTCCTGTGTCTTAAACCATCAAGAAGGTTTGTCTCCATATCCCAAAATAACCAGAAAATTTCTAAATTTTCCCACTTTAACATCTAAGATATTTATTTCTATATAATATCTAAGTTTAAAAAATAAGAACTGTAGGGAAAATAATAGCTGACAGTAGAAACTCAATTGCTCAAGAAATCCAAACTACTGAAGACTTTTTTTAAGCTAGATTATTAACCTGTTTTACAGTGTGTATTAGCGAGGGTTTGGTCATCAGGCAAAAGCACCATGAGTGATAGGAAGTAAGGAATCTATTGTAGGGACCAGCTTTTATGTTGTTATGGAAACTGGAGAAGAAGTTTATGGAAAGCTTCAAATTAGGGTCTACCTGTTGGCCTGATGTCACTGTAGGTCATCAGAGCAGCAGTCAGGAAGAAAAGCTGGGCATGACAGAGGGAAGAACAGGGCAAAGTAGAATCTGTGTATGTCTCTCACATCCTCCAACCTCAGGGAATGAGGTGACCTGAAAAAGAAGCCGCGTTGTTGGCCATGGAGCTACACATGTGCCTAGCTCTGAGGAGTAGCTAATGGAAGAGATCCAACAGGAACTGAAAGAAATGTGAGCCTAGTTCTTCCCACACATTAAGAGGATCCAGCAGATTAGGTATAAAAGTGTATGAGATACAGCAGCTCCTGGCTGTACTGACCTTCAGAGTGTGGTGGCCACTGCTTCATTTTTGCCTTCCAAATCTTAGACACATTTCTCTGTCGTTAACCCTAACCTGGACTCCTGGGGCAAAGAGAGTTCTGGGAAATATAGTTCTAGCTTAGCTTAGTTTACACAGTGCAAAACCATTACACTGTGGTTTTTTTATTTGTTTGTTTCATGAATGTTTTTAATGCAGTTAGTTAACAAGCAGGGATGCTTGCCATGCTTTTCTGTGTATACAGACTTACATTTTATGATGAGTTTATAGATTTAATTCTTTATTGTTGGCTTGGCTTGATTTTACTTGGTTTGTTTTGGTTTAATTTGGGTATGAATTACTCAAGGTCCAGTCAGGAGCCAGAAACCATAACAGTAATATGAGCAGGAAAAATTTAATATAAGGAGTTGTTAAGTAGTGATAGGGGATTAACTACTAAGAAGTACAGAGGATTTTTAAGGATACAGAAATAGCAGATAAAGGGAGCAGCTTGTCTAAGGTTCAGGCAGAATACCCACAAAAGGAGCAAATTTGGAGAGGGCCACTCTCCAACAATATGAGATTCAGACCTTGGTGGAGAGGCATTGCTATGACCGCTGGATTGCTCTGAAGTGAAGTTCACTGAGGGGCCACAGGCTTGGACTGGCAAGCAGGAAACTGCCTGCTGGAATTCTGACAAGACTTGCTAGCAAGCCACCATCTCTGAGCTACCACTGAAAGTTGCAAAGTGGTGAGCGCGTCTGGGTGTCCCACACACAACAGGAACAAGAAGGAAAAAGCACACCAGAACCAGGAAAAGAAACCAATTCATACTGTAGTGTCCCAACTGACAAAGCTTAATATATTGTGCCAGCTGGCAAAGAAAAAACGTTGACAGGTCCAGCTTCAGTACCACAAAGCAAGGCAAAGGCAGGTAGATCTTGAGGGGAGAGGCTCTGCATTGATACCCAGCAGACAGGGTTAAGGAGTAGATCATATTGATTCTTAGATACTTTCTGAGTTTCTGTCTTACGGGAAATTATTGCTGATGCATAGTGGATTTGTTAATTCAGGAAAATTCTGTAGATGTAAATTGCATTATCCTGGCCTCTGATTGCACATGAGCCATCCTCATACTGTTCAAAGGGTGTAAATTCCTGACTCTTGCTCAGCATTGCTTCAGAAAATGGACTCAACTGCTTGTCTTGCTTAAACTTGCTTTGAAAATATTTTTAATAACATTTATTAGTCTTTTTTTTTCCAATGCACCAGGGGTTTATTGAGCATCTCAACAAAAAAGGCTGCTATACCAGACAACATCTTGGGCAGCAAGATGAACAAAACATTGATGGGGCCACTAGGAACTTATATTAGTCTTTATAATGTAATAAATAATAAATAAGCTCGCCCGCAGTTTCATCAGTCAAGTGGACATTTTCTTTTTTTTTTTTCCATTTATTTTTATTAGTTGGAGGCTAATTACTTTACATCATTGCAGTGGTTTTTGTCATACATTGAAATGAATTAAGCAGTATATATGCATGGTTAGAAAATTCAGATGGTACAGAGAGATAGAAAATGCAAAATAAACACTCACTTTCCCACCTCCACTCCATTTTTTCTGACAGTTGGTTTCCTCCTGGGGGTGGGGGTGGGGTGTATTTTTGCTAGAATATACAAATAAGATTATTTTTTAACTAAAGTGACCACACTGTGTTCTCACCTTGCTTTTTTCACTTAGTAGTATATTTTGGAGATCCTTCTATATACCTAATTAATATATAGCATATATACCTAATTATTTTTAATGACTGCATATGTGTATCCATATATATGTCTTTTTAATAGTGGAACTCAAAGCCTGCTCTGAGTAAGATGTTGGGAGAGACGATGGATCAGGTGCCTATGTTGTTGGTTTTCTTTTAAATGTATCAGCTATTTTTTTAAAATTGAAATATAGTTGACTCACAATATTAGTGAATTAGTGTTAGTTTCAGATGTACAGCAGAGTGATTTTTTTTTCAGGTTATACCCATTGAGTTATTGTTGTTTTTGTTTAGTCACTAAGTTGTATCCGACTCTTTTGCAACCCCAGGGACTGTAGCCCGCCAAGCTCCTCTGTCCATGGGATTACAAGATATTTAATATAATCCCCTGTGCTATACAGTAAATGCTTGTTGCTTATCTACTTTATATATAGTAATTTGTACCCTTCCTTCCTCCCCTTTGGTATCTATAAGTTTGTTTTCTGTGTCTGTGGTTCTGTTTCTGTTTTATATATAGATTCATTTGTATTAGTATTAGATTCCACATATATGTGATACCATATAGTATTTATCTTTCTCCATCTGACTTATTTCATGAAGTATAATATTCACTACATCCATCTGTTTTACTACAAATGGTAGTATTTCTTTCTTTTATGGCTGCATACTATTCCACTGTGTATATATATACACACCATTTCTTCTTAAGCCAGTAGTCTGTTGATGGGCATATGAGTTGTTTCCATGTCTTGGCTTTTATAAATAGTACTGCTGTGAACATTGGGGTGCATGCATCTTTTTGAATTATAGTTTTCATTTTTTTCAGATATATACCCATGAGTGGGATTACAGGATCATATGGTAGCTCTAATTTTAGTTTTTTAAGAAACTTCCTTACTGTCTCCCGTAGTGGCTGCACAAATTTACATTCCCACCAATAGAGCACAAGGATTTCTTCCCTTTTCTCCACACCCTCTCCAGCATTTATTATTATAGACTTTGATGATAGTTATTCTACCCAATGTAAGATGATACTTCACTGTGGCTTTGATTTCCATTTCTCTAGTAATTAGCAGTGTCAGACATCTTTTCA